GCTGCGCCGCGGCGGCTGCTCTGAGCCGAAGCTGCGCCAGCTGCAGCGTCAGCCCCACCCCTTGGGCCCCTTCTTTCGCCACGCCGCGCCCCGCCTCACGCAGCCAATCCCGATTCCAAATGCTTTTGATCGGCAGTTCTCCTGACCAATAGGATGCTGCATATTAATCTAAAGTCCCGCCTTACCCACCGCCTGGAGTCTTCGGTCCCTTACCTTTACCCGAAAAGGGGAAAGGGGGAAAAGGAGGAAAAGGAGAAGGGGAGAGGGTGTGATTATGGGGTCCCTTTCTCGGGCTGAGCGGTGGGGGTTGGAGTGGAAATGGCTGTGTCCATCTCTCCCTCCAGGTCCTAAGACCATGGATCTGAATGTTTTGACACACTAGGTCCAAGCCGCAGTATAGAAGCCATGGGAACAGCCTTCCGTTTGCTCACCTTTGAGTATGTTTAGTAGGCAATATGGCACTAAGTGCCCTCATCGAGACACCCCACTTACACCTGCTAGCTTCTCCAATCTGGACGTCCGGTTGCTTTCCTCGTGGTCGCCTCCCCACCCCACAGCACATCCTGCTCTGTGAGAGAATGCTAGTGGGCGAGACTTTGAGCAATCACACGCACCCTTCCTCCTTTGGCAGGGGGTCTTTGATTCATGGGGCGGGAGCAAGGAGTCTCTAATGCCTCTGTATGTGATGCCCTGCATCTGGCTCTGGCCCCCCCGGACAGCTCCTTTTTGATTGGTTGTCCCACCAACACATTGATCTCACCCTTGGGTGGGTGATGGATGGTTGGACTCTAGGGAACTCTGCAAATTGGATCAGTTGATGAGCGCAGGTTGGGACAGCAAATGGAGCCTTCCGTGTGGAAATAGGCCCAGGAGGGTTGGCCTAACTTCCAGTCAAGACCTGGGTCCAAGTTGAGGTGGGTTTTAATCATTAAACAGCTTTCTGCTGCTCAGGTCCCAGCTGGTCCCACCCCCAGATGCTAGATGGGGTGCTGCCTATTTCTCTGGATCCCACAATTCTCTCTGCAGTGCCCATAGGCCTTTGTCCTAGACTTTGGATTCTTTGAGCCTTACCCACAGGTTGTGAGCACCACTTATCCCTGGCCTGATCAGTGTGCCTTGTAGGACATTTCTCTCCCAGCCATGCTGTGGTTTCCATTCCAGGAGTCTTCCAGTGTCTTAGGCGGACCTTGAGCACTGGTATGGGGATGGGTCTGGTGGACAGAGAAGTCCCTGCCTGTCGATTCAGTAACTATTCTCAGAATTGTTCTTGAATCTCTCTCTCTCTTTCTGTCTGTCTGTCTGTCTGGCTTTCTCTGCAGGATCACACTCAAACTGGCTTTGAACTCACCGTCTTCCTTCCTCAGCCTCCCAGATTCTGGGATTCGAGGCACAATCAGGCCTGCCTCTATTTCCCCTAGACCCAGCACAGCACCAAAGACTCACTGCTGTCGGGATCCGTGTGCCCACATTCCTCTCTCTGTATGTGTTTCGTTATAGGTAGGCTGCTCCAGAATCCCCCTGGCCTTCAGCTCCTCTCTGTAGTCTCACGACCGCCACCGCTCACCCACCCCCTCCTGGAAGCTGAGGTCAGCTTCCTCAAATCTCCTCCCTTAGCTGCAACCATGGTCACATATAGACTTGTTTTTTATATTTATTTATTTATTTATTGTGGGGGAGGTGCACATGCTTGGCACGGCATGTTTGGAGATCAGAAGACAACTTTGGGGAGCCGGTTTTCGCCTCCCTTCGTACGGCTTCTGGGGACCAAGCTCAGATCCTTATGCTCGGCTGCAGGTGATTTTTACTGGCTGAGCTGTCTCTCCAGTCCCCATGCACTCTTGCTCAGCAGGGTCTCTCTGTGCCCTTGAATCTGATCTTTATTCTCTTGTGGCCTTAGTTGTTCTGCCCAACCTCTTGTTTTCTCCATAACTGTGGGAAAATGTTCCCTCCTTGTAGCTCCTATAACTGGCCCCGCTTACTCCTACAAGGCCTCCTGAGTCAGTCTTTGACACCCCAGGAACAGTTGGCTCACTGGTAGTCAAGGACAGGCCCCACAGAGACTGAGCTGTGCTGGCAGAAACCTGGCACGTGGATCTGAAAGGCACGTGGGTCCTTCTGGCTCCCAGGAGTCTCTCATTGACATAAGGACTGTCGCTGGTACCATTGAGGACACGATCTCTGCACCATGGATATCACTGTGTTCGTACCTCTACTCCGGGTCCAGTTGTGACCTTCTGTTATCCTGTTTGTCAGAATTGAGAACTTTTTCCTGTTTCAGGGTCCCCAGACTAGGTGCCTCTGAGGGTCTCCTAGCCCCCTTACGCCATCTGAAACTCTCTTTCTGGCTTACAGGCACCCCTTTGTCCTGCCCTGATTAGCCTCCTGGGTCTCTGAGCATGTACCATGAGCCATAACCCTCTCTCAGAATACCATGTTGCCTTCTACTAAGCTCTTGAAGTCCCACCTCTGCCAGGGAGTCTTTCCGAACCGATGGCAAGGATGAGCTAGAGACGCTAAGACTAAGGAGTGAAAGGGAAGCACATTATACAGGGTAGTGGTCCAGGGGGGTAAAGCTAGTGGAACCAGAAAGGCTTCATGGAGGAGGTAGGCTTTATAGAAGGTTGATGACTTTCTCGCCACATCCGTAACTGTTTTTTTTTTTTTCTGGTTGGGTTATGTTTAGAGCCTGTGTATGATTCATTAATTATGTTAGTTTCTGGATGCTGTTTCTCATCTGACCATTTCCTGTATTGGTCTCTGGAACCGTGCTAAGAGCAGGCTCCCTGGCTGTCTCTATGACTCTTCAGATTATGTGGAGCAATAAGCCACTGTCTTCCAGGATAGGGCAGAGGGTCCAGACCAAGAGCTACAAGGGCCCAGTGCAGGACTTACTAATGAAGGTCCCCACCAACTGACCCTAGAGGAGGCCCTCACTCACCTCCCCGGGCAGGTGAACTAGGAATGTCTCCAAGCCATGCAATGCAAACTCCTTATCCATTCAGCTAACCTTCCCTTCTCTTTCTCTGAGGATTTAGTCTAAAAGACAGGGGCTAGGAGGTACAGCCCAGAGCTAGGAGGTACAGCCCAGAGCTAGGAGGTACAGCCCAGGGCTTGCCAGCTACATGACCTTGGGAAAGTCATTTTGTCTCTCTGAGCCTCTGTTTCTTCATGATAAAAATTCAGAGATTTGACGTGATTATCAGATAAAAATGGCTATTAGAAGAATAAGATAGTCTTTCAGGAATCGGACAGAAAGGGCTCCCAAAGCCTCTACAGTCTTGCAGCTCTGATTCCGAATCAAATTCGGCCTATGAATCTGTGTCTCTCTCTAGCTCCGGCCCTGTCTGCTCCCCCTAATCTGTTTCTGTCTGCTGGGCTCAGTCTTTGTGTGCACAGCATCCATGTGAGGCCTGTGTGTCTGCAGTTCAGCCTGGGAGACGAGGGGAGTGGAGCTGGAGCTATTAGCAATGCAAATTATTCCTCTGTCCCTGGGAGCTCTACCGAGACCCTGGAAGGGAAGTAAACACAAGAGAGGGGGGCCCAAGCAGGTTGAGGTCCAGGGTCTCCCCCAGTAAACATCAAACCTGGAGATCGCAGACCCTACATGTTGCATCCACACATCTTTGAAGAGGTTAATGGCAGCGCAAGTCCTTAAAACAGCCAGAGTGAAGACGGCAGCCTGGGCATCTGAACGCTTAGAGCCTGCTGCCTTCCCCAGCTCCCGGTAAAAATCCAACAGCTCCACCCAGGCTCTTTGGCCCTGAGATGTACAGGGAGAATGTGAACCAGCCCAGCCCCCCCTCCCCCCTCCCTCCTTCCTCCTTCCCTCCCTCCCTCTTTCCCTTCCTCTCTTAAGGACTTACCTCAGGAGACCTGAGTTGTCAGGCACAAAGCCTTGGGGAGGTGAACCCCTCCTAAAATAGGAAGGTAGAGTGAGAGAGGACATGCATGAGGAAGAACTGACAGGGAAAGTGTGCTGGCTGCCAGGACCCCCCCCCCCAATTCTCACCTCTGCCTTTAATAGAAGGCTCTGTGCTAGAAGGACTTGATTAAGGAACCCACGTACAGATTCTTTAGAACAGGGAATGGAGTTGGGAACATGGGAAAGGAGTGTGATGCTCTAGGGTAGAGAAGGGACCAATGCTGAGCTGCTGGAGGATGCAGAAGAAGGAACAGAAGAGGGTGGGGGTAAGTTGGCAGCTCCTTTGCCGGGCCATGAACTCTGGTCTTTCCATGATGGAAGAGGGAGCCATGTCCTCCTCCTTATCACATACGCTGACCTCTCTCATCCTCCCCCCCACTGCTAACCCCAGCTGCCTGGTTCCTGTCTTGACCTTCCTTTGGCTTCCTGGTCCTCACAGCCCTTCCCAGCAGTTCTTTTCTTAGCTCACCTCCAGCCTCCCACCAAGCCCCTTCTTAGCCTCCTCTCCTTTGCCTTGCACCCCAAGCATCCCCCCCACTCAATCTCCTCACTGCTCCCAGGATAGCGCTACAGATGCATGAGCAGATCAAGAAGGGCGGGGGTGGCGGCTGTTGCTCGGTTGAGATATTCTTAGCCTGTCTGGGGGCTGGAGCTGGAATCAGCGTTTCCATCTCAACCAGGCAGGTGGCTGCTAGAAGCTGCCGCTGTGGCTGGGTCTTCATCTAGTACCGAGTCCCTCACCTTGCCCCAATCCACTCACTGAGAACAGCCCCTCAGAGAAGCCTTCCTTCCCATGCCCTGTGTCCTCAGCCAGGAGGTTCCTGGCAAGATGCACAAACCGCACTTCTAAGGACTCTTAGGGGAACACTGGCTCAGATACATCCCGGAGTTGCACACAGACTCCTGGATGCTCTGGGGGCTGCCTTTGCTCTATGACAGTCCCTGGAGGGTATTTGGTCTCTTTCTTATCTTGGTTTACAGGATAAACCTGACAGGGGCCGACCTCTGGGGTCCAGGCTACATATGATACTGAAAAGAGGCTCACTGATCCAGCCTTCTCTTTTAGCAAAGTGAGCAACCAGGAAGAAATCTGACTGATTCCTTCACAAGCAGCTCAGAAAATGTCTGTCCCCTTAAAGGAGACAAAGACTCCTATGTGAGTTCCAGAGTCACTTGGGTCTGGGTTCTAATCCAGCTCTCAAACTAGGAGCTACAACTTAGAGATATTGTCTTAATTCCTTTGAGATCTATAAAACATCACCAAGGGTTACTGTAAATTTTTATTCTCTTTATTTGATTGGTTTTGTTTTGTTTTGTTTTGTTTTGTTTTTAAGACAGGGTCTCACTTTGTAGCCTTGGCCAACCTGGAACTTAAGTATATAGACCGTTGGGCCTCAGACTCACAGAGTCACCTGTCTCTGCCTCCTGAGTGCTAGGACTACAAGTATGCCCCACATACCCAGCTATTCGATCTTATACAATTCAACAATGCATGTGTATCACATGCATTTGGTGTTCAAAAGTGTTAAACATCACAAGTTATAGGATCTCTATTTTATAGACTGGGAAGGGTTGCCTGATGCACACCGTGAACACATACGTTTCTTTGCTATCATGTTTCTCTTCTTCCTAACATGGTGGGAATGAATGCACTACTGTTTTTTTATTTTTTTTGTTTGTTTCTGAAGCCCAAATCTACGGCTGTTATTTCTTCTTGGCTAATGCTCTGACGGGCACCGTAGCTCAGACTTTTCCTGGGAGGTGGTTTGACTCGTGGGGTCATTGCCTGATGACAGTTGGTCTGACATCCGTAGCCTTGTCTGGTCCTACTGTGGCTCTGTAACTTTTATTTGAGGTGAGGCACCACACTCACCCTGTCTTCTATTTAGAAGGAGTTCTCCAGCTCCACATCCCACAGCCTCTCCAAAGACCTACATCCTCAGTGGAGAACCTGTTCGGCTTTTTAAGGGCTTGGAGGAGCAAAATGTTCTGCAAACTATGTGCATACAAGACTATTTGAGCTGCTTGAGTCTGTAAAGTATTGGGCATGTAATACAAACACAAAAAGATACAGAGTAGGATTCAGACTACAAAGGAGGTACAATATGGGCAACGGAGATGTGAAAATGGCCATAAATAGCAGTGCAGTGACCAGCACCCAGGGGTCAGTTGCAGAGGCCAGGATTTAATGACCAGCTTAATCCTGCCCATCCCCCTCTTCCTTCAACATTACAGCTAATCTAACTCCTGCTTGCCCTACATTCTCATATGCAGGAGTTCAAATGAACTTTTAAGTAATGTCTAGTTCCCTCACTTGATACTGGGTCCCCGCCAGGCCTTTGCCTTTCTTGCCCAGTCTCAAGCACGATGATAATTTCACGATGGCAATGGTCACTACGGTCAAGTCAGAGCTCGGCAACCCTCTGCCCATAGCAACAAAAGACCTACACCCTGAAGATGATGTCGGTTAGTGAGTAACTCACGTGAAGGGCCCTGATGGGCCTGCTAATTGCTTCAATACCTTGTCTGAATAAAAGTCATTTGTGTTTACCTCTTAATTTGTTCAGCCTTAGGGGCAAGTGGGGGGTGGGCTTTGAAACAGGTTTGTTAATTCACACTTTCCTCTCCCAGGTTCCAAAATAGGAAAATTCTTCCCCTACCCCCCAAGGTAAGGTCTTATGTACCCCAAGATTACGGGCCACCTCTCTTAGGGTTACCATCACTGTGATGAAACCCAATGACCAGAGCAACTTGGGAGGAAAGGGTTTATTTGGCTCACACTTCCATATCACAGTGCGTTATCAAAGGAAGTCCGGACCAGAACTCAAGCAGGGCAGGAACCTGGAGGCAACCTGCGCCATGGAGGGGTGTTGCTTACTGGCTTGCTCCCCATGGCTTGCTCAGCCCAATTCCTTATAGAATCCAGGACCACCAGTCCAGGGATGGCACCACCCATAATGGGCTGGGCTCTCCCCCATCAAAAACTAATAAAGAAAATGCCCTACATGCCCCTACATGCTTGCCTACAGCCTTATCTTATGGAGGCATTTATTTTCTTTCTTTTTCTTTTCTTTTCTTTTTTTTTTGAGACAGAGTTTCTCTGTATAGTTTTGGTGCTTCTCCTGGACCACGCTCTGTAGACCAGGCTGGCCTGGAACTCACAGAGATCTGCCTGCCTCTGCCTCCCAAGTGTTGGGATTAAAGGCATGTGCCACCACCGCCCAGCTTGGAGGCATTTTCCTAATTGAGGTTCCCTTCTCTCAGATGACACAAGCCTGTGTCAAGCTGACATAAAACTAGCCAGCACACCACCTCACTTTGCTAAGGACTATTTATTTTTATTTTGAGGTATGAGGATCAAATCCAGGGTCTCCTGAATGCTAGGCTAACACTCTATGACTGAGTTAACGACCCCAACTCTCAACGCGATCTTTCATGCTGACCTTCTTTGGTTAAAAGCATTCCTAACTTTATAAGCTGGATATTTTTGTTTGTTTGTTTGTTTTCAAAACAGGGTTTCTGTGCATAGCCTCGACCATCCTAGAACTCACTCTGTAGACCAGGTTGGCCTCAAACTCAGAGATCCGCCTGTCTCTGCCACCCGAGTGCTGGGATTAAAGGGTGGGCCACCATTGCTGGCTTGTAAACTGGACTCTTACATACAAATACTTTTGACTGAGTAGGGAGCAGAGAGGGCAGAGAAGACTGTCTATTGCCGTGGTTCTTAACCTTCTTCATGTGGTGGTGACGCCCCCCCAACTATAAAAATATTTTTGTTGCTACTTCATAACTGTAATTTTGCTACTGTTATGAATTGTAATGTAAATACTTTTGGCGATAGAGGTTGGTCAAAGAGGTTGAGACCCACAGGTTGAGAACCACTGGCATTTTTTGGTTGATTTTGACTTTTTCAAGACAAGGTTTCTCTATGCAGCCCTGGCGGTCCTGGAATTAGCTTTGTAGACCAGGCTGGCCTCGAACTCACAGAAATCCGCCTGCCTCTGCCTCCTGAGTGCTGGGATCAAAGGCGTGCGCCACCGCCGCCGCCACCACCGCCACCACCACCACCACTTGGCAGAATTAAAGCTTTAAACTATTCTGCCCAGCAAAACCTCCCTGAGGGAGGGTTGCAAAAATATGACTTTTAGCTCTTCCTCCAAACTAGAGAAGTATCGTCTGTCTGGGTGGGCTCAAAAATGGGAGCATTGTAAGAAGAGGTTGGGAGAGAGATGACGTCTTCCACTGTTCTCTCTGGCGGGTACCACCATCACCCCTACCGCCCTCCTCACAGTCAGCATACTCCAATTCGCCTCCAGGAAGCTGCTTCTTCCCCACTCCCAACCCACGCAATCCACTAGAAATTAACCCCATCAAAACCCCAAACGTTGAACCCCACCAAGGACCAGGCCACTTCCTATCCCCATCTAAATGGTTCAGGGTCCTGTCCAGCATCATCTCTGTTTTGGAATCTTCGTTGGGTCCCAGGGACCCTTCCTCACACTAAAAGCTTGGGCGCAGAAAAGCCATGCGCAAGTGTCAACTCTTCCTCCTGGGCTGTGGCCAGATGGCATGCCGGAGGTGTCAGCTTCCCGTTCAAGTAAGTAACTCGATGCTTTCCCCTGCATCATGCTTCCGACTCCCATGGACCTGCCAGGCAGCGTAAGAGCCGGCTGTGGTCACAGAGAATCATTTGTTGTCCTCGGGGCTATTAGCACAGGGCCTCGGGGGGCAGCATATGGGGGGTGGACTTGGGACTGAAGCTACCCCAGAGTCCTCATCCAAGCCTGCTTGTCTGGTTTGCGTCTGAGGAGTATCTTAGGGTTTCCATCAACCCGCAGCGGCCTGGTTTCAACGTGCGCCACTTCTGGTGTTTGTTTTATTTTAAACCCCACAGTTGTTTACTTTGATGTAGTTTGTGGACTAATCTGCAACAGGCCAATAGTTTCCTATCCAATCTCTGGAAGTCTATGGGTAGTTAGGCATGGCTGTAGTTTGAATCTTGGTTTTGTTCTTTTTTTTTTTTGTTTGTTTGTTTTTTTTTTTTTTTAAGACAGAATTTCTCTGTGTAGCTCTGGCTGTCCTGGAACTCCCTTTGTAGCCCAGGCTGGCCTCAAACTCAAAGAGAGTCATCTGCATCTGCCTGCCCAGTGCTGGGATTTAAGGCGCGCACCACCACCACCACCACCTGGCTTAGTTTGAGTCTTAAGTGTTCTCCTAAATCTGATATGTGAAGAGCTTGAGCCACAGAATAGTGGTGTTAGAAAGTGGTGGAAACATTAATTATTAGGAACTAGTGGCCTATCTTAACTCACTGGAGACATATTCTCCAAGACAATAATGGACTCCAGCCTCCATTTCTCTTGGTTTCCCACCATAAGGCGAGGTAAATGGTTTCGCTGTAGCCATGGTGTGTAACCACACGTAAAACAAGATAAAACAAACAACCCCAAACTGGGCCAAACCTATCATGTAGGAAAGCCTAAAAACTCTGATCCAAATATTTTATCAGTTGATTATCTCAAGTCTTTG